ATAATTACCAGAAAGTAGTAGGAATACTAAGTCATTCTGTAGGACCAGCTTTATCTTAATACCAAAGGCAGTCCCACTGATTAGTAAAGTACTCTCATACCCTGTCCTGTGTCATAGTGGGCAATGCAGGAAGCCTGGACTTCCTTCTTCACCAGGTAGTGATGAGATGCTGTGTTCTTACCTACTTGTGTTTCATCTGAGGAGGAATAGCATAGTGCAAGTTTACCATCGTTCAGTAATAGTGAGGTGTATGGTTTCTATTGCTGTGAAGAGACACCACGACCATAGCAGCTCTTATAAAGGAAAACATTTAATTGAGGTGGACACTTAGAGTTTCAGGTGTTCAGTCCATTATTATGGTGGATGTGATGGCAGCATGGAAACAGACATGGTGCTAGAGGGTAGCTGAGAGTTCTACATCTGGCAGATAAGAGGAAGTGGACTGAGACAATGGGTGTGACTTGAGCATATATGAAGTATCAAAGCATATCCTATAGTGACACACTCCCTCCAAGGCCACACCTCCTAATAGTGCCACTTTCTTTGGGGGGCCATTTTCTTTCAAACCACCACACTATCCTTTTCTTGCAGCAGTGATTTTTATAAGAAGCATATTAAAATAAATTTTAGTTTTGATTTAGTCACACAATTTCTTGTCTATTTCAAGAAAATCATTAGTCTCATATCAAAACCTAGAAAGTTCCAAAACTAAATGTAAGATAGCAAGAGATGCAAATATTGTGTTGACAGATATTATACTCTCATTATCTGATAATAAAGAACTTAGTTAAATAAATAACAAAGCTGGGCATGATAGTATATGCTTATATTCCTATTACTCAGAAGACTGAGTTAGAAGGATTGAGAATTCAGTGGCTAAGAGTGTTCCTACTCTTAGAGAAAACCTGAGTTTGGTCCCCAGCAACCCTGTTGCCTGTGACTCTAGCTCCAGGGGATCTGACACCTTTTGGCTTCTGTGGACAGGCACCTGTACTCAAGTACACATATCCACACAGACATACAAGTATACACATAATTAAGCAATAAAGATACTTTTAAAAAGGTGATCCTTGACTGCATCGTTCAAAGCCATTCCCAGCCGTGTGGTATGATCTTTTCTCAAACTAAACAAGAGTTGGAAGGACCTTGTTTACAGAAGAAAGGTAAGAGTGACAGCATTCTTAAAAGTCAGAAGGGAGTATAGGAGCAGCTGTAAATACTGAACAACAGCCGAGGCACTTGATTCTAGTGTCTGCTCGCCTGTTTCTGTATGCTACACCATAAATGCAATAAAAACAAAGATGGATAGAGCAGTTAAGTATACTCCTTTTTCCTATGTGTCTCAGGGAATTGAATTAATACCATTGTCCTTTTTAAAAGGAAGCCAACTACTCTATAATCCCTGATCTGTTTCTGTTCATTTCTTCTACTTCAACTTTTAGAAAAGTAAAATTGGTTAATACCAAGTGTTGTCTTACCTGTCAAGCAGGTTTTTATTCTAGAAGAGAATAAAGTAAATGTGAATGTAACTGCAGTACAGCAGATTTGGATAGATGTCAAAGAAGAGAAATTAGAAAAAGACCTCTGGAAATTGAAAGGAAGAGTTGAGATCAAAACAAATGAAGGACATCAAGGAAAATGACATATGAATCTGATTAAAAGTGGAAGAAAAGGAAAGAGCTGAGGATGTGTCCAAAGTCTGTGCCCAGATGAATGAGCCAGGAGTGTTGTTACGGCAGTGATTGAGTATAACAGTCTCCTCGACTGCAGAGGTTTTCCGCTGACTGGACATATCTTTACTCCTAAACTCGTGCTGGAGACAAAGCACTTAGTATTTATTATGCAAATGAATAAATGAGTTTAGTAACTGGAAAGCAGTGGTCACAAGACCACTGGGTAGGAAGGATTTTTTGAGAATGAAGTCTGGTTGAGGAATTATAAATATAGAATTTAATCTTGGCTGCCATTTGGTAGTTGTCATTGCTTCAGCTACCATTATAGGTATCATACAGGTTCCTCTCAAGTATTAACTGTGTGGCCTTATATTTAAAATGGGACTGCAAGAGAATAGTGTTACTACTGACTTTATCTTACTTGAGGGCACAGTTGTCTATACCTGTGTTATACATCGACTCCTGACCTAAATGAGCCACTAACAATCGCATATTAAAACTGTTTACAACTGAGAATGTAGCTTAGTGGTCAAGTACTCCTTAACCATATGCTTCACCCTGCACTAGGTCTGAACCACTGCCTAAAACAAAACGTTTGTCTGAGTTACCTTATGCCAAAGCTAAAAAGTATCTTAAAAATCACCCATCCATCCCAAGCCCATCATTTAAACTGAAGGTGGGTACCAGTACTGTCCAAGAAACCCTAAAACAATATAGCCTAGAACCATTGCCCATGATTACCTTCTACAACTTGAAGGTAAGGCCTATTGCTGAAGACGCCTCATATTTTTGTCATAGGACTTGAGGAATCAAGCTGGTACTGATAGGAGCTGAAAGGCTCCTCCTCCCTAAAGTCTGGCTCCAACCATACTGGAGGGTGCTATGCAAACTGCCACGGGGAAAAGTTACCACAGTCCCACTGGCCTGGCAGGATACCACAACTGGGCAATAGTGGCGCTTATGTATTGGGGTAACCATCAGTCGTCTAATTGAACTTAAGGCCTATCCAGTAGGAGCGAACTCATGCTTGATACCGTAAACTCAGCCAAGAACCCATGGAATGGTCATGGACCGTAGAGGGGAACCTACTACTGATATTTCTCTAAATTAATGTAGATTTCAACTATTCTAATTACCTTTAGCCCCACAGAGAAGTATACCTCTCATTTTTAATTTTAAAAAAAGCTATTTTTGAAGCAGATGTAGGATGCTTTACGGATCTGTGACTGGTCAGAATATAAAGAACTTGTGACTGTGGTGGGGACAGCCCTTGTTGGGACATCTACAGTACAACCTCTATACCCAAGGCTCACAGCATCATCGGAGAGGTGGTGAAAGACTCTTAGAAACAGAGAACCAGGGCAATTGCTATGAGATACTGTCTTCTAGACATGTCAGGGGTTTTACCACCCCCACCCCCATGAACTCTCTTCAGGATAGTTGCCTGCAGCACAAGACTATACCACTCAACATGCCAGTAGATGGGGGAAATTTTCACAAGGCTCCACCTTCAAATGGAGAGCTACAGGCAATCATTGGCTGCTGAGGGGGGAGAATCTGCTTTATCCAGCTATGAGAGACCCTGCTAAGTGGTCACCCCTAAATACTTGTACATATGGGTAGCAGTACCTGGACTCAGTAGGTTTTGTGTGTGTGTGTGTGTGTGTGTGTGTATGCCTACAATATTTATAAAACTATTTAGAGAAAAGAAGGTTATGAATTTGAGAGAGAGTGGGGAAACATAGGAGTTGAAGAGGAGATAGGATGAAAATTATGTAAATACAGTGTGTTTATGTATGAAATTCTTAAAACTTTAAAAGTAATGTGACTTTACACAAAGTCACACTTAGTTGAAGAAAAAAAAAGAGTAAAATGTAGTCCAAGAGCAAATCCAAGTGAGAATTGCTCCACATAAAACATGGGGTGGAGTATAGGACAGAGATAATTAAATGTGTTCTTTTCTGTTTATTTGGTGGGTTTGGGGGGAGGGGCACGATGCTACGAATTAAACCTGGAGTCTTGTGCATACTGAGTCCATCACTAAGCCCTTGGTTGGGTGTTTGACATTTACCTTCATGGATGAGTTTTCTAGAAAATGTGTGTTCTCATGCTGGTTGTTTCCATCTTTATACCCTGTTAATATCCTTAATCCACTGTGTACAAAGTCAGACTTGGAATCCCTAAATTGTAGGGCTGAAAAAGATGAGAGCAAGTCTCACCTGGCGTTTCGAGAATGAGGAAGCATCCTGCAGATGCCTCGCTCTCTGAGAGCTGTCAGCCGTTTCTATGTCCCAGAGCCTTTCTTTTGTATCCTTTTGACTTAGATTGAACCTTGAGTGTTCATTTTGACTATAAATAGCCACAGGTTTTGCTTTTTTTACATGGTTCAATTGAATAATAAGGAGTAACCCTAATATAGAGAAAGAATAAAAGAGAATTGCTAAGGAGACTGGGTTTGTACCTCTGTGTAGAACACTGATGTATCTTGTTCAAGGCCCTGGGTTCACTCCCTGGCACCTCAAAGAAGAAGAGGGAAATTAACATGAGAAAGGAACTAAGAGCTCCAGGTAGATGGAGTGACAAGTTATAGAAAACCAGGAGGCTCTCCACAGGGGTGGGGTGGGGTCTAATCTGTGCTCTTCCATTTAATCCCTAGTCCCAGTGGGCCTCTGAAATGCCCCAGGTGCTAGGAAACCTTTTGGAGCCAACTTATTAGGAGTGTGTGGCATCTGGCAGTGGGAGCTGCTGTGAAGGAGAAGACTATGAGTATCTTCTTGTTCCTCGGTGACTGTGGTATACCCTGGAATAGTTGAGAATGAAGACCTAGGATGTCATTATAGAGTTAGCTTGTCACTTTTCAAGTTCATCCATTGTATTTGTATTTACACATATTCCATGTGAATCAGTTGCTCTTAAACAGATGATTTATTAATATAGCCAAAGAATTAGCTGTCACGTAAGGAGAAATTTGGGAGTGGTCATTGACTTGATCTTGCATGAATTCCTATTGTGGGCTTGTGTTTTTAACTAATTACTTTATGGTAGTATTTACAATTTTGAATTTTAGTCAGCAGCTGATTAAGCCCTGTGTCAGACACTGTGGGAGAAGAGGGGAAAATCAGAGAAAGTCCTTGCCCTTAAAAACTGAGTCATGCTGAGTACTAAGTGAGGAACGTGACATTTTTAGATTTTTTTCTTTTTCCTTCATTTGTGAACCTGAGTTTTCATGTTGTATAATTTTTAATTTTAATTTACTGACTTGTAAAGCATGTTCATGACTGAAAATTCAATAATTTAGAGCTCGTATGCTTCCTTTCAAATTATTAGGTTGCACGGCTGGAGAAGGATAAAGAGGAACTACACAGCCAGCTGCTTAGTGTTGGTCCCACCAGAGACACCAAACGAGTGGAGCAGCTTGTTCGGGAAAAAACCCATTTGCTTCAGAAATTGAAAGGTTTAGAGACTGAAGTAGCAGAATTAAGGGCTGAGAAAGAGAATTCTGGTGCTCATGTAGAAAATGTCCAAAGAATACAGGTGAGGCAGCTGGCTGAGATGCAGGCTGCGCTCAGATCCTTGGAGGTAAGGCTTTAATTGCTTCCCAGTAGAGTATGGCCTAAGTTTTAAAAGTGCACTTGACAAGCCTTTGGTTTTTAGAGTATAAACACACGCTCACCGATCTGATGTTGACGCATTTGTGTAGTCCCATGGGCATGTAAAGAAGAAAGGTGATTCATCAGCAGTAGCTGTGCTACTGCATCTGGGAAGGGGTGGATATTCATTCCTTGGGAACCATCATCTAAGTGAAGTGACTTTACTCTTAAAATGTCACAGAATAAAATATGCAGATATTCCCCAAATTTTTCAATACTAAAGTCATCTGCAAACAGAAGAAAATAATTACTTTTGAAATTATAAATTCCTTATACTAGAATTAAATATCTTAAATTCATAATTCTGTTTGAGGAGATATAACATACTACACATATAGCTTCTAGTCAAAGTGATAAAAGTTAGCTGACTACTGATGCATACAGATCTGAATTATTTCCCTGAGTTTGCTAGAGAAAGAAAAATGTTGGCAGAGCCATACCAGGACCTCTGGGAGGTATCACTTCAGAAAACTCTTGGCTTCCATCTTATTCAGACATGCTTATGCCTCTTAGTGCCTGGACCCAAGATAGAGTAGAGACTTTGTTTTTCGTTTCAGTGATGTGTAATGTCTTTCTGTATACGTGTTGCTTTTTTGACTAATGAATAAAGCTGCTTTTGCCTGTAGTGGGACAGAATATAGCCAGGCTGCCTGCCTGCCTGCCTGCCTGCCTGCCTGCCTGCCTATCTATCTATCTATCTATCTATCTATCTATCTATCTATCTATCTATCTATCTATCTATC